TTTTTTATATTCAAAATTTCATTAATGATAATATAGCAATTTGATTATTATAATTCGTGAAAAAAAAATATTAAATATAAATACTAGTAGTAAACTTAAATATTTTAATTTCCACTTTAAAAAAAAAGAAAAAAGAAAAATTACGTTAAAAAAAAAAAAAAAATTATGAACAAAGGAATTATGCGACTACAAGGGAGTAGTATTTTGGTAAATGATTTTGAGTAAAGAATGCACTCAATTATTCTTTGTTTTCTTAATTTTATTGGTTTCTCTAGAAAAAAAAAGTTAGAAGTAGGTTTTAAGGTTGGAAAAAGTACATCTAAATGAAATAGAAAAACCCAAATAGATTTTATTTAGGGCACAACGATAAAAATTTTGGATTTTATGATAATTTATATATTTTTTCAAATTGGTGTTTTTCCTCTTTAAGATGGCGATGGATTCAATATATATATATAATATATTATATTATATTTTTTTTCTTCTCAATGTTGCTTTTGTCCATTGAAATATATATATATATATATATATATATTTATTCTTCTCAAGTGTTGCTTTTGTCAGTGAAACAAGTTTCTCCTTCACCGTGTCGACTAATATTTAATGCGCAAGAATTATTTTTCATAAGGGTAATAATTAATTGTGGAATAAGTTCATTTTGCTTCTTAAATATGGGTTTAAAAAATCGATTTTTTTGTACAATTATCACTCTACTTTTACATCAAATAAGTAAAAAGGCCCAATTTTTTACCAGAAAAGATCAAATAATAATTTTAATATTTTTAACTGATAAAATTTACTATTTTTAATGGTAAAAAAATTATATTTTTATTAAAATAACAATAATAAAATAATAAAATATTTACTATATGAACCGTAAACCTAGTTTTAGAAAGTTAGGCACATCCTTGCCTAACAAGGAATATTAATTTACGGATTAGAAAAAAAAAGCTTGACTAAATTACAATTAGTAGACTGCGAACTTTATTTTATATGTATATATTAGTGGGTTGCTTGCAAACATTGCATAAGGATCATCATCTTTGCCGGCCTCTAACTACCTAAAGAATAAGAATTAAAAATTAAAAAGAACATAATAATCTTTTTAAACAAAATCTTGAGTATCTTCAAATATTTATAAATAAATAACTACATACATATAAAATACAAGTAATGAAGTTTAAGATACGGTCTACATTCAATCATTCTCCACCTCTCTAATGTTTTATTATACGTATTTCTTATTATATATTCAACTGCTAGTCATAGATACAATACAATGGGTAGTTTAGCTTTCTATTTTCCATAATTTTATTTATTTATTTATTTATTTATTTTAGGATAGAAATTCAAAATCTTTGTTATTATTATTATTATTAGATTCTCTTCTTTGAGACTCAGGTTTGATACATTATCTCTTTCATCCTAGATATGTTTTGATATGGATTTTCTTAGTCAATTTTAAATTTTATTGATTTTTCAAATATAAATAATTCATTAATTGCTTAGCTAAAATGGATATAATCCGATTGAGTTTTATTTTTTATATATATTTGAAATTGACACAATGAATTATTAAATATTTGAAATTACTAAAACTATGAAGATTTTTATAATATATTTTTTAATTTAATAAAAAGATGATATAAAGGTTTAGCCATATAAACTCTTGATTTCAAAGTATAGCCATGTAAAAACAAATTATACATTATTTACGGATTATAATTCAGTTGGCAATGCAGGTTGATCATATGAGAAGAGCTCTCGGTTTCGATCCTCACTAAATATATCTGTATGGAGGGACTTAAGAGTTTTAATTATGACTAAATAAATCCTGAGCTAAATCAACCCGTCTTTGGTAATAGGGTCCGAATAACAAATATATATTTATAATTATTTTTTTCTTTGAATGGTATGTAAATGTTAAAGTTTCTGTTCCATTGCAATTAAATCCCTGCAAGTGATGGACAGGCTGTTAAAGTTTAATGTCTTGAAATGTACCAAATAAAAACCAGTCCCATTGATGGATAGATGCAAAGCTAAGCACATTCAACAACGGCATGTTCTCTCTTTCAATAATCATTGAATGAAAGGGGCCTCTTCATTTGTACTTGTTTGAAATGTCAGACCAACTATATCAATATGATTGGTAAAATGCAAAAACAATTAAAAAAAAGCCTTCACTGGGCACATGGAGATGTTAATTTTTCTGCAAATCTTCAATCAAGTCAATTCATCAGGGTCTTTAAATGACTTTCAGTCGTTCAATGTGACTGCAAATCTTCGATTTAGTCAATTCTATAGTTCTTTCCAAGTTCACGTAATTACATCAGGATGAGATTTTAATAATTATTGATAAACTGCATAAAGATGAGCAAGTTTTTATTTGAAAAAACGCGTTTTGTGATTAGAGGTGAGGCTCTAGTTCAAGAATAAAATTGTGCGAGTTGGGTAAGTTTTTATTTACAAAAACGCGTTTTGTGATTAAAGGTGAGGCTCTAGTCCAAGAATAAAATTGTGCGAGTTGAGTTCAAAGCAGATAATATCTTATTAGGCTTGAAATATTACGTATTGATTATTGAAGATATATATATTTTTTCTTTTTTTCAATATTTATTAGAGTAGAAATAGATATACCTACCCAAGACACGGGCTCTGGCTTCTTCAGTTGTTGATTTCAGGACTCTTAAGGAGCTTCGTTGATTTGAGGGCAATGATTAATTCTTGGGTCTGAAGCACACAAAGCAAGACCAAATAAGTTCATAGCTAGTAGTGAATAGTGATCGTGACAGATTTCACTACCTGGACTGGACTTGTGCGGTTTAACTTCTTTCTACCATTAATTGGTCTTCCCCAACTTTCAATTTTGTTGGCTAATTAAGTTCTTGTGTTTTTCAAGTAATCTGTCAGTAATTATTGCCTCTTCTTAGCCAAATTTGTCAAGTCATTATTATGAAAATTTTCAATTCCTAGTTAATCAATATCTTCTCTTCTTGTCTTTGGTCATCAAAATAGAATGTGATGTAAAAATAGAGGGGAAAAATTAGTGCAGAAATCGTTACTTTCTAATGTTAATATTTTTATCTTATTACCGATTTTCTTTTAGGATGCTTTCACCAAGATGTTTTTTAATAATATGATAACAGATTTTGAATCCTTGATCTTTTAGATAAAGTTCGCTTGAAATACAGTCCATTTCACTAATCTGATCATCTATTAGTAAATAAAATTACTTTAAATAAAACAGAAAAAAAATTACATAAATACTAAATCGACATCTTTATATGTGATAGAATTGAATTGCATATTTCTAAGACAACTATAGCTTAATTTTAGAAAAACAAGTAGATTGAACATCCTGTTTTTTAATGAACACATCAATGTAACATGCACTATAAGTTGTGGCATGCAATTTCAAGATCTTGAACAGACTCACTTTTCCTTGTAAAACTGCAGTTGATGTAAAATTCAAACTCCCTTGTCCCAAATCCACCAAAAAATTAGGGTTTGCGATTAACTTGTCTACCATAAAATTTGAAGTAGTAGTGATATTAATCTTGGAACGAGCAGGAGCATAATTTTCCTGAATTGGAACATCCGCGACGACATCATCATGAAAATTAACATAGCCTGTAGAGTTCTTGAACTTGAAGCTGCCATAATTGGGATTATAAACTGTAATTACCATGTCTAATGTTCCATTGAGTGCAATATTTGCTGGTAGAAAATTTTTAAGAGCAACAGTGATTTCTGGGTTTTTAGGCTTGAATAAGGCGAATGCTAAGGTTGTGAATACAACAACAATTACAATCAGCAAAATTGTTGTCACACCACAACATATCTTGAGGCCTCTATGGGAAGATTTTCCATTTGCCATTTCTTTGAGAAAAGATTATAGGCCTAGAAATTTGATTGTGTCATGGGATTGGAATTTACGGTTTTAAATAGAGATTGTTTTTAATTAATTGTGTTTTAAATTATTTTGGATAATTAAGGACAGAAATGGATTCTAAATATGGGCTAATATAGAAGTCTATTTATAATGCCAACAAAGATCTTATTAAGACTTGTATTTTATCTTTGTTTTTTCTTTTTTTTTTTTTTAAATTATACTTCTCAAATTTTATTTGAAAAGAAATGAATACTGAAGAGGAGATAAGAAGAGTCCAACGTACAAGTACTGTCTTTTTTAAGATAGGCCCAACTAGTATGGTCCATGAAAGTATAAAGTTAAGTCCAGTCAAGATTGCATTGGGATCGGATGGACATTTATTAATACTTTAATTGACATAGTTAGGACTTAGACACTTCTTTTTTTTTTTTTTTTCTTTTCTATTACTACTTCCGTTCCATAATATTTGTCATATTCGAAAAAACAGTTTGTTTCAAAATACTTATTACATTTATTGTTTCAACGAGTAATAAATTTTTTTTTCATATTTACCCTTAAAATACCCCCAATAATTATTTGGTGTTTAGATTTAGGAGTATTAAATTAAGGGTAATATAGTTAATTTACTCAATAATTTATTATAACTTAGACAAATTTAATATTTTTTAAGGGACGTGAAATTTAAATGTGGAAAATATTATAGAATAGAGGTAGTAATTGACATGAAACTTATTAGACTTTAACTTCTGGATGTGTATGAAAATTTGTACTTGTTTTTTAGGGCATAAAGCTTGCTAACAAACTAGTGGTAGATTGGATTATAAAGGAGAAGATTCATATAAATAGTTGCAAGAATTTGATTAACTTAATTCAATCCCTGATTATGTAATGATTTCAATATAATTTGTATTACTTTTCTAATGTCTGTTAATGGGCTTTATAATAGATTGTACCGTTTTTAATGGATTTAAAACAATTGTAACTGCTGACAACAGTGCATTTTTTTAAAAAAGTATCATTGCTTATTTGCTAAGAAATCAGAACCCATATTGCTACATGATTTCTTACATTATTTGTTAATAAACAATCTCCAAAAGGGAAGCTAGGATAAATAAATTGAGGGAGAATTATTAGACATATAAAGCAATTTGTAACAATAAAACACTAATCTTATAGTTACTTCTTCCAAGGTTTCACAATAGAAAGAACAATTATAATTGCAATGATCAAGAGTAGAATTATGGAAATCATCATGCATTTTCTTGACCTTCTTTGTAAACTCTTTGCAACTTTAAGAGCTTCAGTACCACTTTGAACATGGTCCACTGCATTTGTCACCTGTAATCACAATATTGAATCTCCGTTTCTTAATCTCCGTTTCTTTCTGTAAAATAACTTATAGGAAAATATTCTCAACCAACCTGACTTTCAATGTTATCTAAGATCTCTCCTTGGGCCTCAACAAGAACAGCCATATCGAGGTAAATCTGACAAATAAGAATTCATGTTAGAAAAGTTTGAATTCAAGTTTATACTCTCTAGTCGCAGATATACCTGGTGTAAGTCAAGTAGCTTTTTCTCAATTTCCTTCACAGCATCATGTCTCTCCTGGATCTCTTCTAGAGTATTTCGCACCTGCAACCATGGCTCAAAATTACAAGCTCGAGATAGAAGACATAACAGTAGAATTACAAACTAAAATTGCGTGGGTCATGGAAGAGTATTTTTTAATTACATTAAACTATGCAAGACTTATATACCTGTCCTCTGCCCATTTCTTCAATTGCCTTCTGGAAAATTTGCTCACTGTTTCCAGTTTCGATCAGGTGGTCAATAGTCTAACAGTCAGTAAAATTTGCCAATTATTATAATATCTATACCAATTAGAACATAGTTTCTAGTTTCAAACTACTATCTCAGTACCTCTTCATCTGGTTTGGTTCCTGTAACTGCTTATTCATAGCAAACCATTGGAAAAACGTTATTAATAAAATTGGACGAAGAGATTTAAGAGAATGGAAGTAGATACAGTTTGATATTTGGAAGCAAAGTTTTGAAACCTGTAATGACCCTTCTCTCTACCACTTCACGGTACTCATTTTGGATTCTTTGTCTTAAAGTCTGATCCCAAATAATAAACGTGAGAAAACAAACAAAACATTTGTATTTACTTTATTAATATGTACATATATTATTTACTTTATTAATATGTACATATATATACATTTACCTGAAACTCGGTCATTAAGTCCCTGAACCTTTTTGTTAAGGCACTGTGATCCAAAACAAAGACATATAACTAAATAACAGATATTCACAGTATACACACACACACACACACACACACACACACACACATGCATACACAATAGAGCGAGAATTTGACTTAGCAGCATTATTACTTTCTGCTGGAAATAATAATTAACCACATACGGATAGCATTTTGATAGTGTTGTCAAATTTTCACGATGGTGCTAGAAATGATTATTGCGATTAAATCTTGTCAGTATCAAAATTTTTGTTTTCTAGAAGCATAAAAAGACCCTGCTGTTAAAAGGGATAGTTTTTTTTTATTATTATTATTGATTGGTAGATGCATGAAATTTGTTCTAGAAAATGAATGTCTAAATCTAATATTAAAAAGTTTTCACAAGAAGCAAACTTTGTAACATTCATCCTAGCTCTGTCGACACCAGTTCCCTTTTCACATCCAGGTTTCTGTCGATTGACTAAATTCTGGAAATGAAGACAGAAAAGAGGAATCAGCAAAAATTTGAAATTCTTACAAAAGAAAAGTTTAATGTAGCAACAAAAAGAATAAGTTTTTACATCTTTGTTTATTGCTTGTAGTTTGGCTTTGACAGTCCGTGCAATCTTACCCACTTCGTCAACATCTTTTTCCATTCGCTTCTTGATAACTGCAATGATTTAACTGTACTCTTAGAGAGAAACAACCATCAAGTCCCTGAACCAAGTTTAATATGGACTTCAGGTCTACAGGTTAGGCTTTACCTTTCATGGCGGATGCTTTTGTCACAGTCTTTGACTCCTCATTAGCTTCCTGTAAAGAAGTTAACATTAGAAATTCTATAGGAAGAATCATGAAAAATATTGTTTTCTATTCTCTTTTCTTCACTTATATAGCATTAAACATACCTTCAAGTTTTTGAGAAGTGCGGAGACCTTGTCAACCTGTTTCTCAACCTCTCGTATCTAAGAAAGAAAGAACAAGTATAAAGACAAATAGGAAAGCTATCAAAGATATTGTGTAGTACAAGAACAGGCTTTTCATGAAACATTCACAAGTTTAATTATACTAAAATTTTAACTTAAAAAAGAAGAAGACCATGCTCGAAAGACAATACCTCCTTATTGAAAGCTTCCATTCCCATGTCGGAGTTACTCCGTGGAAGTCGCATCCCCATTTCAACATCAATATTGTTGGGAGGTTTTTCGGCATCACCAACAAATGAATCCTGAAATTCGATGCATTACAAATTCATCAAAAGGTGAAAGAAAAACAGAATTGACGTGAGAGAATTATATATGTATATACTAAACAAAGGATTAGTCTAGTATTTACAAATTCATTTGTACTGAAAAAAGGGTTAGTTTCCTCAATCAACTAAAGATATTACACATTCAAAATTCAAATGAAAAATCACTTCCAAAAACGAGAGGTGGGGACACTATATGGTATGAACCAAAAATAGAGGTAATTTCATACTAAGCAGGACTAACCCAGCTCCAATCACCATTAAACCAACAAAGATGAAGCATTAAACTGAAGAACATAATTTTCCAGTAATTGCAATATAATCATCTCAATACACTACAGTTATCAATTAAATTACAAATTATACATATGCAGAATCCAGAAATGAAATTGAATTACCGTGAGTAAGTCGTTCATCTTGATCAAATCCCAGAATAAGAGAAAGAAAGAGTCAAAAAGATAGTTCTTTTGAAAGGAAACGGAAATAAAAAGAAATGGAAACTAATGGACACGCTATGATTTTTATATGTCGTCAAGAAAAGGAAACTGTGATGTTGGTTGGCCGGCCAAGGTTGAATGCCGAATTGTGTAGTGTAGTAAGAGTGGGAGACCACCAAAGACTAACCATAATGACAAAAAGACGTTGTAAACAACAAAATAAATAAACTAAAAATAACGTCTTTGCTTAAGGGCTGTTTGGCTTGTTACCTGCTTAGCTGCTCTTGTTTGAATAATTTGTTTGCTAGTCTCCACCATCGTCATCCATTATCCAATGTTGAAGACCATCTGGGTTTGCACTCGTGTGTATAAGTACTAAATAGGAATATTCACGGTCAACGGCGGACTTAAAAGTCGAAATTACAATTCAATTTGTTTTTAGAAAATAAGAAAAATATTTTTTAAATGACTTATTTTCTGTTATTTGATTGTAATTTGAAAATTAATTAAAGATATTAAAAATTTTAATTCATAAGACTATAAAAATAAAAATACTAATAATATAAATTTCATATTTAAAAATTTTATTGTTAAATATGAGAATAATAAAAGAAAAATAAATTATGAAAGTCGCCGATGACGGTGGTGGCAGCAGGCAGTGCCCGTGGTGGTGGTCGCAGGCAGTGCCCGTGGTGGTGGTCGACGGTGGCCGGTGGCAGTGAACGGTGAGTGGTAGCAGTGGCTACTAATGATTAATAAATTAACAAAATATGGATTTATAAGGTTATAATAAGTTTGTCAAAATCCGGAAAAATGTTTTATGCTCTTGAAGATGGAAAGTCATTTTCCTTAAAAATGACTTAATTTTACTTTAATCAGGAAAATATTTTCTATTGACTTATTTTCCTTAACGCCCCCAAACAATGAAAAATTGTAGAAAATATTTTACTTCAAGTTATTTTATCGAAACAAATGGACCTAGAGAGATAGAGAAAAATGAACAATTAAAAGGGTAAAACTAAAAAAAAAATAAATAAATTGAAACAATATTTTGACCCTGGGTGCTTCACTTGCCGCCCATAATTCTGTAATTGATGACCCAAACAAGAATTTAGGAACATGTGAGGGGCAGAACCACATAGGCTATGTTTAATAAGGAGTAAAAAATGGTACAGCGAACGCTAATGTATCAGAATATTCTGAATTTTATAAATTTTTATAATTTCACTCTATTTGACTTTTCTTCTATTAATTTTGACCTTTTGTAGCAATAATTGTAATTAAAAATGAAATTATAAATAAAAAACGTATTTTTTTTATCTTTTTTTAAGTATATTATCTTATTATTGAATAAACAATTAATAATAAAAATAAAATTTCAAAAAAGTACTTTAAATATTAAATTATATTCAATTTTATAGTAAGATATTTATAGATTTAGGAATATAATATTGAAAATGTACAAGTTATTTATTTTTTATTAAATGGAAAATAAATGGAAAAAATTTATAAGAATTAGGATTTTTTTTATTCTTAACATATATAAAATATTAAAACAAAATATACAACTGAAAGAATTGTATTTTATTAACTTAATTTTTATGCCATTCTTTTTTTTTTTTTGGTAAGTAACAAAAAGAATATAATATTGACAAATGTACAAGTATATTTATTTTTTATTAAAAATGGAAAATAAATGGAAAAAATTTATAAGAATCTAGGATTTTTTTTATTCTTAAACATATATCAAATATTAAAACAAAAATATACAACTGAAAGAATTGTGATTATTATTTTAACCTTTAATTCTTTATGCCATTCTTTTTTTTTTTTTTTTGGTAAGTAACAAAAATTTTTTTATTAAATTATTAGTTTGCAAATTTCAAAAACTAAAAATTTAATCTTGCAACATCAATTGAGTAGACTAATTGAATATTTCATAAAAATTTTTAAAAATTTTATTAGTGTCACATGATGATCTACAAATTAATGAAAATATTTTTTTATGTGCGATTACATCCTCAACTACTATTAAGGGTGCTATTGCTAGAAAATGTGAAATAAGAATAAAATTAGTAAAAAGGTCGAAATAGGGTATAAAATTGGTAGAAATGTCAAAATGAAGTGAAATTGCAAAAGTTTCTAAAGTTTGGGGTGTTATGATATATAGCCTATTGAGAATGTAATGGAATATAATAGAAAATATAATTCTTATTACTATGTTTGATATACATCACAAAATAGGAATTCAAATTACATTCATGTATTTGATTAACAGGAATAATGGAATGGATAGAATAGGAAAGTAATAAAGTAATAAAATAACCATACCAATAAATTTACTACACATTAATTTATTCAATTAATTATTTTATTAAATAAGGTTTTTCCTTTAGGATAATTATATGATTAGTTTTAATATTTGCAAATAATGAAAATGAATTTTATAATTTTTTTTAAAGAAGTAATATTCATACGACTGAAATGTGTTTATCAAATCAATAAAGCAAATTTATTACTATCTCAGTTTTATAATATTTGTTTTATATATGAGAAAATATTTTGATCCAAAAAATATTTGTCATATTTGTAGTTCCAAAGAGTAATATTTTTTTTTTTTTCATATTTACCTTTGTATATGACTGAAACACCTCGTAATCTTATTTTCAAAAGTTTTGAATTTTTTATTAAATTAAAAATATGTGGGCTGTAAGTACTATATAATCTCAATCCGCGTCCAAACTCGTGAGTTGGGCCGACGCCCAAAGTATAGTACGGCAGCTCCTAACCAAGATTTTTGAAGCTGCATAAGAATTATACTGAACGTTAAATATTAAATCAATTAAAATAAATTAACTGGACCCGTAAACCCGTTTGAAATTTTCGAAAATTAAGTGAAAAATTCGAAAACCAAGCAAAAATTGAGTCAAATCGTTGAATCAGACCAAACCGCTTTGAATCGAACTGGAATGGCTAGAAACCGCCTTACCTTCTTTCTTTTTCCTCTCTTCTTTTTCTTCCGCGAGGCAGGCGCGACTCCTCCCTTCTTCCAGTTTCTGGCCATCGCTCAACGAGAGCGAGGTGGCGATCGACTTCCCTGGAGTCGCTGGTCCATTTTCCGGCCTCCTTCCGCGCTAGCAGAGCCTCCAATGGCGCGAAACGAGACTGTCTCCATCGATAGTTCTCGTTCTTCGCTCTCCGGCGATGCCAAGCGACTCCGGCCACGTGAAGCTTCAAGGTGAGGCTCGATCAATTCAGCTCCTCCATACGAAGATTTTCCATCTAAGAATTGACGGATTCGGTGGAAATAAGATTATTTAAGTTGAATATTTAATTAAAGTTTGTAGGTGTTCAATTGTTCCTTTAGTTTGAATTAATATCCTAGTTGCAAGACAAAGTATTGGATTTGTCTTGGATCCCACATTGGAAGTATGAGATTTCAACGCGGGATTCATATGAATTTGGATTTTTCAACCTCAATTTCTAGCTTTTGAGGTATGATTTTTACAAGGTCATAACAATTTGTATCAAAGTCAATCACTGGTCCTCTAACTTGCAATCAAGCAGAGCGCCTTAATGTGGACACCGGGACTACGGAGCGTAGTGGGATGTTAGGATCCTAGTTGTAAGGCAAGATATGAGACTTGTCTTAGATTCCACATTGGAGTGGTGGTTAAGAATAGCTTGAAGCATTTTTAGCTTCGTGGCCATGTTTATCGCAATATTGACAGATAACAGGACTTGATACAAGAGGGTGAGCATTAGGAGTGGGTAACAACCCAGACATTTGAGAAAGTCGCACTTGATGACTAGATGAACGAGATTGTGTTGTCATATTAACAGTTGGCGGAGACGATTTAGATCGCAATAGTTCATTATGTAGAAGAAATATTTCATGGTCAAGAAGTTTCTCAAACATTTCCTCAAATGAAATAGTTGTCGCGAGAATGTAAGAAGGAGATAATATCTTTGTTTGCAGGCCCAAGACCTAGGTTGTATAAACAAGCAGATCCATATCAAATGGTGGAGCTCCAAAGATGGTAAGCTCGTCAATAATCTTCTCAATAATAGTAAGAGTGTCTACAACAGACATGGTGCCATGAGTTATTTGTGCCAACTTATCTTTAAGATATATAATATGGGCGTTAGATCTTCTGGCATAAAGTCTCGCTAGCCAAATCCATGCTTCATGGCTAGTTTCTGTAGAAGAAATCTAAGGGACAATGGTGTCATCAAGAGAGGCAATTATAGCATGTAAAATTAGTTTGTCTTGTCTTACCCCAGAGAGTATGATCAGGGCTATTAGTCACAACATCATTTTGAGTCAGAGTTTCGGGAGGAGAAGAAGCATAGCCATCCAAATAACTTGAGCACGCCATGAGAAATGGTTCATGGAGGTGAGTTCGAGAGGGAGTTGTGTGGTTACATTAATGGTGATTAAAAGTTTGGTAGTAGTTTTGTAAGAAAGGTTGCGCAGAAGTTTTAGGTAACATGGTTGGAGAGAAAAAAATTACTCGTGAGAGAGAGAGGGCTTTGATACCATAAAAGAGTAAACATAAAAGAGAACTAAAATAGAAGATAATTACATTGATCAGTCATATATGTACAATTTAACGTAAAGGCTTTCCTACAAATTAAGGATATGTTACAATATCAATCCTAAAGAATAACAAAATCGAATAATGATGAATATTAAGGAGGATTTCTAAAGATTAATTTTATTTAATAACAGATTTTCTAATAATAGTTATATCCTTACTAATATTCAAAGACGGTAAATCCTTAGCGACAACTTCCTTCCAAGCAGTTTTAGATTGATCTCTTTCTTTTTTAGTACCAGTTATTAATAAAGTATCGCATTTACGAAATCAGGACATATGAGGGTCTACGTAATACATAATCATACAATTTCAAGCGTCCTCTTATTTTGTCTCCAACTTCTACTACTTGTGCATTTTGTTCAATATGATCATTTCTAATCTTGTCCAACCTTGTGTGACTACATTTATCTCAACATTCGCATCTCCGTAATATTCATTTTGTGAACTTGTTGAGCATTAGGTGTCCAACAATAAGTATTATATAATTACAAACTCGTAAGTGAATTTAAATTCATTTGCAAAGAATAGAAAAAAAATTAGAAAGTCACAGGAAAAAAATTCCAAAGATGAATGAGGAATAATAATAAGAATCTATATAAATGTATAATTCTGAAGCAAAAAATAAGTTTAACGCGCTCTTTTCATTCAGCATTCCTATTTTTTCTTTTTTACAAATTTTTGAGTTTTCTTTTAGTTTCACTATGATTTAATTAGATTTTAATATTTTCTAAAAATCAATTTATTCATATAGGATTATCTACACTAATAAATTATTTAAATTACAAACTCTAATAGCTTAGCTAGCTATTAGATAACATTTATCTCTTACGATCTATAAATAACTAAAAAAACTTTTATCCCTCTCATGGTATTGCTCGGTATTGCTGACATTATTGCTCATGTGAACTTTTTTCAGGTGTGCGAGGCTTGCACCTTCTCAGATAAGTGTCATCCATTGTGATTCTCATGGTACTGCAATGAGAATTTATTTATATAGGAGGATTTATTCATATAGGATTTTCTATACTAACAAATTGTTTCAGGTGAAAATTTTCAAATTTGCGAAGAATGGACTTACACATTTTCAAATTGTATGTCTAGGGCATATGCATAAATTCTTTTTTTAATCTCGCTCTTCAGAGATTGTTCAGAGTAACCCTTGGGCTTTCCTTTATCATATAAGGATTTCCCATTCCTTTCTATATTTTTTCCACCTTCAAGGTTAATCCTTTTTTTTCTAAATTTATTTTCAATCTTCTCCTCTGCATTTTTACGATTCTTGATATTTTTTTTAATTCTTCTTCAATTCTTTGAATTATCATAATTTCAAATTTTAATTTGTTGGTTAATATGGTTTGTTAATTATATGTTATAAATTTTTGAAAGAGCAATTATCCTTGGTTTTAATTGATTTATTATTTATAGGTGGAATTGTTAGGTGCACTTGATCAAATACGAGAAGAACGGAGAAGCATGAAGATCATATGACTATACATGATGGAGTTGTCATCTATTTATAAAAATATTGTATTCTATCTATCAATATCCCATATCCCACTTGAGCAAGACTTAAAATTTTATAAGAAAATTAATTACCAAGTTAGCTAACTCCTACATACCAAGATATAATCTAGTGGTACGTGCATATACAATTTAGTAATAGATCTGTTGGGATATCCTCCCAAGTCCCACACCGAATAAAAATGAGAAGAGGAATCAAAATATAATGGTTCAAACCCAATCCATTAGTATGAGGCCTTTTGGGAGGTGCCCAAAAACAAATCCGTGAGAGCTTGACCCAAAGCGGACAATATCATACTAATTTGGGGTTGGATGAGAGTACGCGCGGTCGCAACAAGATCAGATCTATATTCGAATCTCTCCTAGGTAAAAAAAAAAAAAAAAAAGATGAGAGTAACGGCAGCGTCCGGCAACAAGATCAATCTATATTCGAATCTCTCCTAGGTCATAAAAAAAAGTTAGCAAACTCCTAACTAGCTTATAATGTTAAATCAATTATTTTTTGAAAAAATTGAAAAATTATTTAATAAAAGTGAGGATAGGATTGCTGTATGTATGTGATGAGTAAATATCATTTTGTCGGTGGCATTTCGGGTTCGATCTTCGGCACTTATGGGAATCTATGCTTTATGAGCTCTTCTTGATTCGAACGATCTATGTAAGTAGAATATACAAACTGCTTCAGAAAATTTATATGTATATTAATATATATATATATATAATAGTAATATATATATTTAATACAATGAATTCGGTAACCTCCCTCCTGCTAATCATTGGGTTCAATTATATATTGATACCCATCGTATATTTCAAAATCTCTATTTATATATTTGTTTTATTATGTATTTGATAATAGAAAGGTATCAATACTCAGTATTGAAATATATTCAAATAATAAAAATTTCATTGTTAATTATTGTACTTTGAATATGTAGCTGACTTGATTATGTAAATTTCTACTTAAATATATAACTAAATAATTTTATTAATACAAGTTATTCTCAAGTATTAGATTAAAAATTTTAAAAAATTCAGTTATTAATTAATTAATTAATTAATTCTATTTAAACTTAAAGAATAAATAGGATACACAAAAAATAATTAAAACTTCATATTTAATCATTAATAATATATATTAATTAAATTATTATAATAAATAAAGTAAAATATATAGTAAACCAGATCAGTAAAATATATATAAACAGACACTTTTAATATATATGGAATACAATTTATAATTATAAATTATAAACTATGAAGTATTATGTACGACAACAGTGAGATTCATGGAAAAATGAATATTTTAATAATACTAATACAATTTATAAATTTAAAATTATAAATAATAAAGTATGTATAAACTAAATAATAATAAACTAAATAAATTTTTTATTTAAAATAATATTGAAAAGATTCATTACAAGCAATGCATCCGCACAATAAAAGATGAATTGTTATGTGTAGGATGTTATTATGAATAATGAAATTATTCTTTAAAAATGTAATTATACATTAGTTATATATTAAATTTTAATGAATATTACCTTTGAGGGGTGAGATGGGATGACAAATATGTATTCTCTCTTAACTAGAAGTCTCGAGTTCAAGTCCTAGTACAAATTCCCGTTAAACACTCGAAAGGGAACGCTTTCTCAGCTATTAGAAATTAAAGAGTCGTAATTAACGATGAGATAATACAGTTACTCACTGGTGTATTTTAGTCAAGTCCTAATTCTGGTCCAGCTCAAAAGAATGGGTTATAATATCGGAGAGTTTGAATTATATTCTTATTGCTAATTAATTAGATATTAAATTATAAAGTTATACACACATACGGAAGATTTCTCCTATCAAATAAATATTATTTTAATTGTTAATTAATTAAAATAATAGAGTTAAACTTCTACTATAATTACAAAGTTATTAGACATCCTGAAATTTAACCAGGCAGTAGAGTTTACGATTGAGTTACAATTTATAATGATGTATAAATTATAAAAATAAGTTACATCAAATTCATATTACCTTCATTACTTATCACATTAAGTATTACATTCCAAAATACTTGTCACATTTATAGTTTTGAAAAGTAATAATTTTTTTTCATACCCTTTATATATAATCAATAATTATTGCTTCAATTTCTCCAAAATTTAATGTTTGGATATATTAAATTAAGGGTAATATAATCAATTTACTCAATAATTTATTGTAACTTAGATAAATTTAAAGATTTTTTTAAGGGATGTAAAATTTCAAATGTAACAAATACTAGCAATACTACCTTCATTCCTAAATATTTATCACATTTGAGAAAAATACTATGTTTCAAAATACTTGTCACATTTATGATTTCAACAAGTAATAGATTTTTTTTCATATTTACCCTTTATATATAATCAATAATTATTGCTTCAATTCCTCAAAATTTGGTGTTTGAATATATGAAATTAAAAGTAATATAATCGATTTACTCAATAATTTATTATAATTTAGACAAATTCAATAATTTTTTAAGGAGATGAAATTCTAAATATCACGAGTATTTAGAAACTGTTGTGCGGTGCCCACTTAGTGGGACCCACATTTGAAATAAATAAAAAAAAAGAGAAGAAAGGAAAACGTGGTAGGACCCACACACAGTTGAAAAAGGAAGAAGAAAATTTTCTTCGGTAGGTGATCTATTTTTCGGTGGACGCGTGATTAACGCGTCCACCTCTCCTACTGTCGGTAGTGGACTATTTTTGCGTGGACGCGTGATGTGATTAACGCGTCCACCTCTCCTATAAATGGGAGTTAATTCACTTCATCAAAGCACACAAGCAGAGCAAAAGAAAAGAAAGAGATTTAGAGAGTTTCAATTTTAGAAAGGGTTCTACGCGTCCACCTCTCCTATAAATGGGAGTTAATTCACTTCATCAAAGCACACAAGCAGAGCAAAAGAAAAGAAAGAGATTTAGAGAGTTTAAATTTTAGAAAGGGTTCTAAAACTGGGTAGAGAAAATAGTGAGGATAATTTCGGGTGTTTTTGGGAAACACTTTGGAGTGTCATTATTTTTGTATTACTCTCTATTTGTAAGCCTACTATTTTTAATAGTGGAAGAATGATTCGGAGTTTGTCCCGTGGACGTAGCCCTAAACAGTTGAGGGTGAATCACGTAAAGACGTAGCCCTAAACAGTTGAGGGTGAATCACGTAAATTTCTCTATGTCCCATTTCTATTTTTTCGTTGCGTTAATTTTTTCTCTTAATTGGTTGAAAGAGCCCAACAAGTGGAATCAGAACTGATGCCCAAAAACTGGTATCAGACCTGATTCCTAACAACTGGTATTAGAGTTGATGCCTAACAAGTGGTATCAGAGCTGAAGGTTTCGATAGGTCTAGCCGGTCAAATAGTGGTACCGGATTCGTGGATATATTTTGAAAATAAATATACCACGACGAAGAGAAAATTACGACGAGTCCATTGGTGAACAGTACTATTAGCATTACTGTTTGCTGAGTCCATTTGAAGTAAGCCCAGCACTATTCACGCATAGTACTATTCATGTGTATAGTTACTATTCATGCATACAGTTACTATTCAAGTATACTGTTACTATTCATGGTCACTATTCACGCATACTACTGTTCATGTATACGGTTTATGTTGGTGATGATATTCTGCATAAGTCAAAATGGACAAACAAAATGATTAGTCTAAATGACGCATATTACCATATATGGAGAAATAAAATGTGAGATCTCCTTATGGTAATCAAAATGCATTTGCCCGTGTTTAGTTCAACTAAACCGGAAGACAAGACTAAAACGCGGAAGACAAGACTGATGAGGAATGGAGCCTTTGGGAGCATGGTGTCCAAATCTCGGTTGGCAGGGATTTGAGATGAAAGGGTTTCTTGAGCACCTTTAAGAAATGGTCAGGTGAAGCTCACAAAAAGGTCATTTGTGGTAAGCGAAAGACCAAAAGCTGTACGTGAGCATGCGAAACTCTCCCAAGACACTTTGAGTGGTAGCGGATGAATGATAGTACAGGTTGAATTGTGGCATAAATGAAACTACGCCCATATGAGTAAGAAAAAGCTCTGGCAAGAAAGAATGTACTACCGTGGGGGAAAAAAAAAAAAAATTGGATGAAGTTCACCTAGACAAGTGTCCTGATTGTATAGCGGGCAAACCTAAACAGAGTGAGCTTTCAAAGATTACCCCTCCTTCTAGAATGAAGAATGTAGTTAGATCTGATTCATAGATTTGGTGTGGACCATTGAACAATGTCATTGAATGGTGGAAATGGGCTGTGAGTCGATATTTTGTGATATTTATCGATGACCATTCTAGGAAGACCTGGGTATACACATTGAAGTCTTCTAAACCTGATTGAGAGATAGATAGGCAAGAAGCTGAAGTGTATCAGGACAGATAATGGTGGAGAATACACTGGGTCATTTGATACTTTCTGCAAAGAGCATGGCATTCGACATCAAACGAAACCTCCCAAGACACCGTAACTGAACAGTTTGACTGAGAGGATGAACAGAACTTTGATGGAGAGAGTCAGATGTGTACTCTCACATGCAAAGTTGTCTAAGAGATTTTGGGGTGAAGTTTTACTCACAATAGTTTATCGTTCACCCTGTTTCTCTCTACAGTATGATACTCCAGAGAGAGTATGGTTAGGAAAGGATGTTTCCTATGATCATTTGTGGGTGTTTGGTTGCAAAGCCTTCGTGCATATAGCCTTTCCGTGCATATCCCGAAGGAATGAAAACCGGTCTAAGCTTGATGTCAAGATTAGACGGGTTGTGTATCTCATTAATGGCTATGGCCAAGACCAAGAATGTGGCTAATAGGTTTATGCTATAGGTTTTATGACCCAATCCAGAAGACGATTATAAGAAATCGTGATGTTGTATTTGTTGAAGATCAGACTATTGAAGATATTGAAGCAGAGTGCCATTAGATCTGATGAAGACTCAACAGACATACAGAGAGTCCCTCCAATAGAATGCAGAAAAATTGGAGATGAAGATAATGTTCCACAAGAACGAGTGCCAGAGTTAGAAAATCCAAAAGTTCATAATCAGAATGAACCATATGAAGATTATGGTGTTCATGTTCAACCACCAGCACCGGAAGTTCCTCAAACATTAAGAAGATCCAATAGAGTCTGACAACAATCTACTAGATATTCTCCTAATGAGTATGACTTGTTGACTCAAGGGGGAGAACCAGAGAACTACCAGGAGGCAATGGAAGATTATAAAAAGAATGAGTGGTGGAAAGATAAAAAGAATGAGTGGGTGGAAGCCATGGCCACGATGGAGATGGATCCTCT